ACGGAGGCGAGGAGAGAGGGTGGCAGGACTGGAGGTGGGACCATTTAGGAGGCCTTGGGAAGAACCTGGACGGGCGAGAGGTAGCCCCTGCCTGTCCCATCCAACCCACTCTCTGAGGAGAACTCGTGCGCCTGCTGAGCTGTGGGAGGTTTGCCCCGGCAGAGGCATCTGTCCATGTTGGAAGTTTAACCAACATTGATTGGGCAGCTTCCCTTTCTCAGACACCTTCACGTATAATTAGTTCCCCCTGAGCTGCATTGTCAGCAAAAATTAAACTTTTTCTTTCTTAGACGTGAAGAAACGGAGACTTGGTGCCAAGCCCCCCTTGAATTGAACCCTCGCTCTACCACCTGCCCAACATACTGTTCGAAAGAAGCAACAGCCCGAAATGGAGTCGCTGGGGCTAAGCCCCCAGCACCGAACCAAAACTTAATCCCCGAACTAATTACGGTTACAGCTTCCCCCAGGAATGTACTCTTACTGGTGAGTCTGGAGTTCTCTGCTCAGCACCAATGAGGTAATCGACCACAGAGGGCTTCCCGCCCCCCCAGGGGGATGAGGTAACCCTCCTAATGCACCCTCTTTGTCCCCAAAGGGAGGTGACCTTGCCTGAAATCACCCTTTATTTTGTTTGTTTGTTTACGACTTCCTTGTCCTGCCTTTTAAAGTACTTCCCTGTCTGTAGCCCTTCGGAGTTTCCTTCTACTTGCTGGATGGGATGCTGCCCAATTCATGAATCATTCAATAAACTCAATTAGATCTTTAAAACGTACGCAGTTGAATCTTTAACGGTATAAGTAGAGAGGGACACAGTACAAGGCCTCGTGAGCCGAGCCTTGGACTTGCGAGGTTGCTGCTAATACAACCTTGCTTAGAAGAGTCATATTTGATGGGCTCGGCGGTGGGACTTCTGGTACCCAGGACCCGGTGGCAGAAGCAATGAGGAGACAGCGGGTGCTTCCAGAGCTGAGCCACGGGAACAAGCGTGAATGGGCTCCCCGGGGTTGGGCTCCCCGGGGTGGGCCGGCCCTGCCTCCAGTTCCCTCCTCCTCTCTTTTTGTTGCTCTGGGCCTGAGGGGGAGAGTTCTGAAGGGGAAGGGGCCTGGGCCTGGGGGCTTCCCTTACAGGGGGCTCTTTCCCTTGCCAGGGTCCTAGGAGAGGCCTCCCAAGTCCCCCACAATCCCCTCCCCGGTCCGCGGTCCCAGTTAGGCCAGGGCGGGAAAGGAGAGCAACTGCGCCATCTGCTGGGCGTATTGGGCAGGCTCCGCTGCGCCCAGGTGAGCACTAGGCAGACATTTCCCTGCCTGCGTGGTTTTTGGGCGTAAGACTCTTGAGCTACCAAAGGGTGTATGACAAGTGACCTCCGCTATAGGAGTAACCCTCAGAATAGAACCCATCTCAGCTGGTGGCAGGAAATAGTGTCAACAGGGCTGCCTGTTACCGTCTGTGCACTCAGGTGAACAGTGAGGGGAGAGGACAAACACGTAGCCACTCACCACGCAGTGTGGTAAGCGCTGTGCCTGGGGCAAGACAGGCAGAAGACAGGGGACCAAGCTGACATCCTAGGTCCCTGTCAGGCGCTGCTCCTTAATCCAGAAGCACGATCAGCACTTAAACCAGGGTTAAGGGAAGACATTCCGGAGAGAGGGCACCTGGAAGTTCGTGCCGCGCCCCCGCCCTGGCCCAGGGCTGCCTTCCCCTTGCCGGCCTCTCCAGGAGGTAAGCCCTGCCGGTGCCTCTCACTATCCATTCTCCTCTTTATTTTAGCAACGAGCCTCACTCACTTCCCCGCCCTGCAACTTGTGGCCAGACAGCTAAATATTGGCCATGTGATTGCGACCAATGGCATGTGCGTGGAGGTAAGTGGACGCTTCAGGGGTACGCTCTTCTTCCTATCTCTTCTTCCCCACGGGCTGGGGTGCAGACTCGGAGTGTAGTGATGAGCAGACTTTGCCCACAGGGATAAGGGCAACACCTGGTGGTTGGTGAAGCAATGAGATGGAGGGAACCATCTGACCTCCTCAAATCTGCCAGCCCAGGCTTTTACACGAGAGAGAGAAACTAGATTCTTTAATCCACGGAGATAAGTTTTTTTGTTAAAGCAGTCAAATGAATATCCCAGTGACGCTCACTCCCAGAAGATGAATAAACGGAAGGGTTGGGAGATCTATCAGGGTTCCTGAAATCTGAACCAGAGGCCATCCCGAGCTGCAGATCCAGTGTGGTTATAACTATGACCCCAGTTCCCTGTGATTCTCTCAGTTCAGTTACCACTGGACTAGTTGGGATGTACTGTAGTTCAGTGTGGTTTGTGTCCAAGGCCACATGACTGGTGCAACATTGTTACCAGTGGCCAAGAACATCCCAGTCTTCAGTCTAGGAGTCTACTTCCTACTTGACTGCTAATCTATGACATGCCTTACCTAAGTAGATATCTTATCTCCACTCACAGATAAGGCATTGAAAACCCATCAGAGTCTTTCCCAAGAGCCCAGGGATAATAGAAACTCAGCTTCTCAGGTTTCCCTTTGGGACCTCTTGACATTTCCTCAAAGGAAGAATGGTTGGTTCTCTCCGCTGGGGGAGACCAAGGCCCTCTGGCACCGACCAGGGAATATGACTACGTCTTAAAGTAGTTGTAAAAAGGACAATTAAACCGCAGAAATGTGAGCACTAGAGAAGGAAGTTGTACAGAAGTCAACGTCACGCAGCTAAGAGAGTGTTTAGGAATTATATCAGTATTTGGAAGTCAGTGGTTACAGGTTCAAATCATTCTTGTAAATGTTCAACCACTGGAAAACTTTCAAAACGCCAGGTAGCCAATGGTTTCTAGATTTTAAAAAATGTATTACAAAGGTAACAAAGGCCCCCTCCCGTTTCTGGTAACAGGTCAGCTTACTGAACAGAATAAGGGAGAGCCTGTTGCACCACACTGCACGCGCTTCCTGGAAATTTGCAAATACCAGACCACAGAGCTTGACTAATGACTTTTGGACGTGGTGCCCACTCTGTGTGTTTAGGGAACTGGCTGGTGTGGGAAAGACTCGAATGCCTGGTCCTTACGTCAATGTTGCTGGCCCTGAAAATCACCAGAAAGGGGAGGCGAAGGGGGAATAAAGATGACCCAGACAGGCGCAGTCAGGCAGGCTGATGAGAGCTGAAAGTGGCCAGAGTAAGGCAAAGCTCTGGTTGCCTCTGAAGAATTCCAAGTTTCCTTTTCCCCAAATTGAGGCAGGAATGGAAAAACCAACAGCCTTTGAGTATAAAGACTCAGATTTGAGTTCTAACTCAGAGCGGGCTTCTAAATACGACGCACACAATGAATGGATGCTCCACTGATCTCAGGGAATCGACAGGAGGCGGCAATAAGAGATCCAAAAGTATTCCCAGTGCTTTGTCCATGGGTGACGGTTTATCATGGGAAAAGATGCTGAGAAGGTATACATGCTATCACTCGCAGTTCTTCTGTTTGTATGTGCAAACTAGCTTAGACGCAAAAGGAATCTTTTGGTTCAGCCAATGGGGGACAGTCGTCATCAGAGCTAATAGCAAATATTCCATTTTTCTTCCTTCCTGGCATATGGTGGGATTGGCACTCTCTGCCCTCTAAAGTTTGGTGTGACCGCGTAACTTGCCCGTCTCTTCTGCTTTAACAACAAGAGTGCACCCTGCCACATCCCCTTGTCCTGTCTCAGTGATTGGGAGGCTTACAAGGAGATGACGTCTCCGTGGTCTGGGGCCCCTTGTGACTACAGTGAGCAGAGCACTCGCCTCCGGTCCCCCACCTCACTGGCTGTGTAGCAAAAATAAACTTTTGCTGTGTTAAAAGCCACTGCAACCTTGGGATTGTTAGTCACTGCAACACAAGCCTATACTGAGTAGCTTTTCTTACCTTCTGTATTCCTGATGCTCTGGGAGTTGGATCTTGATCCTGGAGAGACTGTTCCTCCTAGGGCTAGCTAATTCCTGGAGACTGCAAACAACTCCCCGGAGAGCTCACCCTCTGATAAAACCAACCAATCCATAGTCACACCCGCAACTGTGTCTTTTATCAAACTTTCACACACCAAGCCAGTGTTCCCCCTGCCCTGAATCACCCCAGGACGGGTACTGGACAACTAGGGACTACTCCCGTAGCCGAGAACCTGCCAAAATTACTCAAACTAACCAATCTTACTTGGCATACCTACCCTGCCTCACCTGTTCCTTCCCGCGATAAGCCCAATAAAGGCCTGCTGACCCCCCTCTCTCTGCATCCTGACCAACCCTGGTCCCTCCTCATGTGGCCTTTTGTGATGTGCTGTGCCTCCTGTGTCTAGGGATCCATGAGTATAAGCTTCTTCCTTCATGACAATTGTTTCTCTGTCTGTGTCCTACCATTCCTGATTAAAACAAATCCTGGGCGCATTTGTAACACAAACCTGGCCCATCCTGATGGAAACACTAGGAGGGAGGCTGGGACTGGCGTCAGGTGCACTGGGTTTGCTCACCCTCTTCTCACCCTGAGTTCTGCTTTCCTCTGTGCTAGTTGCACCAAAAGATGGGCTTTCTCCGAGTGGCAGGAAGATGGCTCTAAGCATCCAGAGCCGAAGCAGGACGTGGTCTTCGCTGCTGATTCCAGCAGGAAAAAAAAGTTGTAGGGGGAGACTCAGACTGGCCCAACTTGAGTCAGGTACAATCACGGGGCAATCTTTGTGGGACACGCATACTGATTAAGACTGACCCACAGGCTCGGGCAGCCAGGAGCATAGTTGCCACTGAGGTCTATCACGGCCCTTCTGTAGATGGAGTCTGGACACCCAACCCATGCTGCACCACAAAGAAAGGACAGTGTGCAGACAGCTGCTCATTACACAAAGTACTGAATGAAAGATCTCCCTTTGAAATCAATAGGAAGGAGCTAGGTTTTTATGAGGTAGGTCAGGCCAACCAGAAATACAGTATTTAGGATCCATCTTCCCCAACAGTGGAAAACAAACCCCTTAAATGAGCATGTGAGGTGAAGGGTGGCAAACATTTACTGAATATTCCAGTTACTGAATGCCCTGTTATACACCTGGTTGCTTCTGTTCAGGTGGGTCTGGCTAAAGGAATGTCCAAGTCCCCAGATACCTATGCTAGGCTCCAGCTTCAAGTTGGTTTTTATAGAGGCCCATAGGACAGGGTTTGAAGATCTTTGTGGGTCATAGGAAGCAGAAGAAAAACTGAGGGGGATGAATTCATGACAAGGCTCTCAGCCTGGAATAGTGGGCCGCCTCCCACAGTCCATAAACTCGTCACTGAATGTGAAAAACAGAATGTTCACTTCCTGCAGAAAGGATCCCAGCTCTCATCAGACTGCCAGAGAGGATGGCCCCCAGGGGCTCAGAACTGCCATTTTAACAGAGGGAAGCTCAGCAGACAAAGAGGGGCCTGGGACTTTTCTGGTGTCTCATCAGGTGGGCAGATTTCTCATCTCCACTTCAGTTCTCCTGTTTTCCAAACAGCACTGACGTCACCAAGTTCCACATCCTTGCAGCATCCTGTGTGGAGACATCTGGGCCCAAGTCCTAACGAGGCCATTTACCAGCAGGTGACTTAGCTTTGATGAGCTGATTCTGCATCGACAGAGGGAAGACCACATTGTCACGCCAGCCGTTAAAGTAGATGAAACAGTGAATGTGGAGCTTTCTCCTTTCCCTCCCATTAATAACCGAAGCTAACACCATGGAGCCCCGTTATATGCCACAATGCTAAGTGCTTTTAGGTACCTTATGTCATTTAATCTTCACAAAAGCCCTATTGAGTAGGTAATAGTATTATCCCCATTTAATTTTAAAATACTGGGAATTGGGAGAATGGAGGCTGAGGTCAAGCCCTCACCACCAAAAAGTGGAGCTGGCTTCCAANGAATTGGAGGCTGAGGTCAAGCCCTCACCACCAAAAAGTGGAGCTGGCTTCCAACCCGTCAGTCCTCTTAACCCAGGCTGCTTCTCCCACCCACACCACCCGAGACCAAGACAAAGTGCTCAGAGAGCCGGCTACTGCTATTGGAACGATCCGGATGGGGGCGTGGGACGTGGAGAGCCTTATACACATAGTCCCTGTGACATGTCAAGCAGGTGACAGATGATCTCGTTGGTTGGACTCTAACAAGTGTTTTCTTCACAGCTCCGTGACATGCACATACTGTCAACCTTGCTTTCGCTCTACAGGACAGACAGGCACAGGAAGGTGGTGAGGGTGACGTGTGGCTTCAGTCACACCATGGTCGTGGGCTTGGCTGGGAACTAGGAAGCTGGATCACTATTACTCAGGAGGCAGCACTAGCCTGAGGCAATAAACCGAGGCTCAGGATGGAAGCTACAAGAAGCAGACCAGAATCACGAAGTTTCCAGAACTGTTCTTTATTCCCAATCACTCCCACTTCTTTACCCTGGAGTGGCTGCATTATACCGAGTGGCCCTCAGCTTCATGAAGAAGGGAATTAGCCCCCTTTCAGAACCCCTGTGCAAACAGGCCGCCCAGCAGGGCTGAGGGAACTGGGAAGGCTCTGGACTTGGGCAGGCGGGTCCCACTGCAGTGACCCTGCTCTGGGGAAGCTGCCTTGGAGAGAGAAGCAGGAGCCGCTGACATCACCCACCCAATTCCCTCTGTGTCCCAGGGCTGGGAATGAACTCATCAGAGCAAATGCTGGAAAGGAACTTATGAGACAAGCTACCCAATTTGGGGCCTGAATTCCCGAGCCCTCACACCACCGCAGTGGGAACTCAGTCCCACGCAGGAGCCTTTCAGAGGTGGAGGCTCTGCTCACCAGATTTGGAAGAGGAAAGAGAAGATGAGTGAGAACAGCATGGGGCGTGGCTGCTTCCTCCCAATCCAACTGCGCCTTCTGGATGGCAGCCCCCTCTGGCCCCCGTCCCGCCTGCTGTAAGCCACAGCTGCTGCGACCAGGGCAGTCCACCAGGTGCCTGGTGTCGGGAGGTGCTCCGTCGCTGACAGCAGCTGAGGCGTGGCAGTGGGGCTGATGGCTGGCAGCTGACGGGGTCACTTGTTGGCCACAGCAGAAAGCTGGTCTCGGATGCGGCCGAGCCCATCTAACATAGTGTCCAGCGTTTCCTTACTCAGCTCCATGGTGACAGCCGAGACGCAGGGCTTGTCCCCACACAGACTGGGATCTTCCTGAATCTGAAAAGAGAACACGGTCCCAATGTCAAAGCCGCCTCACCTCGTACTGCCCCAGAGGTGAGCCCTGGAGCCGAGAGCTGCACCCCGTCCAGGTGAACCTCTGAGGAGAGGCGCTCTGCTCAGAGCTCCGGTCCTGGCCCTGGAGTCAGTGCGCAACTGGGAAGAAGGAAGGGGATGGCTCAGAGGGTGGGGGTCAGTTTCCATTTGCATCGCGCGCTCAGGGCAGGTACCAGGGAAGCCAAGGCTTCCTCACCGCCGACTCAGCCTTCAAGTGAGAGAGCGTCACGTGTTCCTACTGGTAATTCGAGCAATGGGCTCTAGGGTACATGAGAATCCAGGGGGATGCAGGAAAAATACAGGTGACCCCTGTGCCAAAGTGGGCTTGAGTATGGCAAGTAGACTCAGAATGTGTGAACAGCGAAGGCCGGCAGCTTGAGCACTCAGGAGGTCGCACCTAAGTGCACTGGGCATCGTGACAGTCTTTGGGTTAATAAAGCTGCTGTAACAATCATAACCTGCATGTCTTTATCCATATGAACTGTCAACCTACTTTTGCCCATCCCTGTATTACAACCTCTACTTATATTTATTTATATCTTTATAAAAAGCAAGCTTTACTGATATTCAAAAACTTAGTTGTTAGAGGCAGCCTCCCTGTGTCCCCGATCCCACCTGCTATGAGCCAGGGTTGCTGAGAGGGCTAAATGAGTTAATGCAGGCAGAGTCCTTCAGTGTAGCGACTGGCTCAGAAGGTGAGGAACTGACACCTCTCCAACTGCTAGCAGCTCCCGGCCAGCACGTCACCAGCAGCGATGACCTAATCACACTGGACAAGAAGCTGGCTGACGTGGACCAATTTACCAAGAAGGCCATTTGAAATCTGAACACACTCTTACAGTTAAAGCTGAACTTTCCTACAGGTGTATGAGGTAACTTTTAGGTTTCGGTAAATTATTTTTAAAATTTGCTCTGTTGTCTCTTTATTTTAAAACTTTTACTCTCAGTGTATGCTCTACTATGTCTAGAATATGTTAATACAGTAGAACACATATACTTCGCAAATAAATACTGTATTTGGGGGGAGCTGAAGCTTTTTTATTTATGGAGTTAGATATCCCCAACTTTGGAGACTGGCATTTTTGATGTCCCCCAGGGGTGCCGTCTCTACCGCCCCTTCTTTCATTCTAGTGAGGATGACACTGGACGTACCTTCATCTGGAGCAGGCAGGTGGGGACCACCATGCGGCTGATGCTGTCTGAGGCGGTTTTGATGTCCACTCTCCAGTCCAGGTCGACCAGGCGTGGCAGAGAGACTGCGGAGGGGACAGCCCAGCTCAGAGCTCATGCCCCCATTTGCTGAGCCTTTACTCTGTGGCAGGCAGCCCTGAGGGCCGTCCATGTGCAATGCATGGGATCCACGCAGCAAGTCTCTGAGGCGGACGGACGGACGGACGGGGCCGATGGCTCCGTGCCACCTGCACTTAGTGCTGATTCAGGGTGGCAGCATCTCTAGCCTTCTGCCTGAACACCCCACACTCCAGATGTCAGGACAGAATGAGAAATGACCCAGGGAGAGAAGACGAGGTGGTGGCCTGAGTCTCAGGAAATGTGTAACTTCAACAATAGTGGAAAGAGCTTTTGTTTGAGAGGCAAACAGACTTGGCTTAAACATGGGTTCTACCACTTGTGTAACCTCTGAGCCTGTTTCCTCATCTGTAAAATGGGGATAATCTTAGCCTAGCTCCCGAGGTTGCGGGGAGGGCTAAACCAGTTAATGCAGGCACAGTCCTTCAGTGTAGTGACTGGCTCAGAGTAAGTTCCATGATCATTTATTAAAATCCACTTTTACTCAATCTTTCAAGCTAATTTCAAGTACAGTTTTTTCCTAATGGAAATATCATTATTTTAAGTATTTTACTTACTGCTTTGGAAATTTGCTTATTTTTTTTTAACATGACTGTGTTATATTAATTCTGTATTTACAATGAGAAAAAAATTAAAAAGCAGAATTAAAAATAAAAACCACATACACTGTTCAGTTTGTCATTAGGTTAATTCCCTTTGATTTTCAGTTAAGAACTCTGGCCACCTGGCAGGTTCTGAGCTGGGCTGGGAAGGAGCATGAGGAGGAAAAGGCAGAGTTCTTGGTACTCACTCAGGTTTGCCTGGGCTTCAGCTCTCCAAGTGGATCTGTTTTAGAGGGAAAGATGAGGTAAAAATGATGGCAAGGGATGAAAATGGAGTCTTCTGACAACAAGAGAGGCCCATGGACCTGGGCTTCTGCCCCTCTGTGATCCCCAAACCGATTACACAATCGCCTTCTGACAGGAAAGTAACCTCCTTCCAGTTTGTTTTGTAAAGCGCAGTGACTTTAAGGCCAAAAGTGCTATTAGTTTTCACAACTTAAAAAAGGAAAAGGCTTAATGCGTTGTAATCTTACTGCGCTATCGTTCTCAAAGAGAGAGAAACGGTCAACCTATTCTCTCTTGTTTTTTAAGTGATTTCAGAGACAGGAGGGGGGAGGGAGAGGGAGAGAGAAACACTGATCAGCTGCCTCCTACACACCCGCTTCTAGGGACCAAGCCCACAACTTGGGCATGTGCCCTGAGTGGGAATCAAACCAGCAACTTTTCAGGGCACAGACAATGCCCAAACAACCGAGTCACACGGGCCAGGGCTGCCCATTGCCTTTAACCCAGTAAGGAAAGAATTAAGCAGGTGAACAAAGTTTCTATGATAAATTGTTCACTGAAGTGAAAATAGCCAATCACATACATGTCTAACTCTTGGGAATTTCTTAATTAAATTATACAGAATTTCTTTATATAATGGAATATGACTAGCCACTAAAAATGGTATTGAAGGTAAATATTTATTGACCTGAAATGCCATTAACACTAATACTGTTAATGGCAAACAAGCACATTATAAAGTGGCATCATCCCATCATGTTAAAAGCAGAAATGCCCACCCCTCTCTGCATGTGTGAACAGAAAAAATAAACAGGTCCTGCAAGGCTCTCCACCAAGGAACTAATACTGCTAACCCTCTGGGTGGTAGGACTAAGATTTCTTTTTGTTTACCTGTGCTTGCTTTTCAAGAATGAACATACTATTTTTAGAACAGGAATAAAAGAATCTAAGCCTTACAAGGAACTCTCAAGAAACAAGCACTCACATGTGTTCCAGGATGATCTTTGTCAGCAGGTTTTTGAGGTTCTGGTGGAAGTTTGCAGGAAAGAGAGCCAGAATGGCTTCTGCAGAGGACAGGTCCCGGAACGCTGCCAGCCTGGTGAGGCGGTGGAGGGCCTGGAGCAGCTACAGGAGAGAGGGGGAGCCCTGGGTGGTGAGGAACAGCTGGCCAAGAGACCAGGGACAGGTGACAGGGCTCTATCCCTTGCCTGCCACACACTGCTACAGTCATTCAACAGCGTCCCACGAGTCCTGAGGCCCCCGTCACAGATGCCGATGCCCATGTGCCTCAGCCTGTCCCTGAGTTCACCTGTTGCTTTAGAAGACAGATGCAGCCACCTGACATAGGAAGCTGTGAACTTGCCAGAAACTCCGCTTACAGGCAGAGTTAGTAAGTCCCCTTTCCTATTGTACAGAATCTGACCTTCAGTTCAAGATTTTCAACGGTGTGCTGCAAGAATTTTTAAAACATGCAATACCTGACTATTATTCAGGGGCACTGACCTCTTTTCCCTTAGACTGTCAAATAAAAAACAACAGCCAACACAATAGCCATTTAGTGTGAATGAATCAAAATTATACCAATTTTTTTGTCAGACTGGCAAAAAAACATATTTTTTTGGTGTGCCACAGACCTTTAGTAACTAGTTTATCTGTGCCATGAGATGAAAAAGGTTGAAAATCCCTTTTCCAGCCTGTTCCTCTGATAACCTAAGGAGTGGCAAGTCAGCTACATTACTAGGCAGCGCTGCACTGGTCCACTGCCTCTGGACTGGGAGGGCTGCATGGACACTGGGGCATGGACACTGGGGCCCACAGCATGGTACTTCCCTGAGTGTGGCTGCATGCCCTTTGTCAGAACCTGAAGCTGTGTTTACTGAACTGTTACCAGAGGTGTTGGCACTTGTGGGGTTTGCGCATTGAATCCAGGGTGGTAGGAGTGTCATGACCTTGCCCCTAGGCTGTCACCTGGGAAGAAAAAGAGAACCAACAGCTCCAGGCTGGCTGTGTGGACTGCCCTGTGGAAGAGGAATGCTAGAACACTGTGTTCTACCCCAGGATCTTCCAAGTGACTCTGTAGCCAAGTGCGCTTATGGTCATTCTGTAGATATAACAATCCTTAGCCGAACCTAAGACAGCTCTCTGAAGGCAACTTTCTCTGCTTTAAGGGCTCCCTCTGATGCTGCGGGAGGTGGCTCAGCTGCAGACAGGCACAGTCCAGGGGAGAGGGGACATTAACCCTTCACCGAGGAGAAGTGGGAGTTAAGTGGGTAAATGTCCTAACCTCGCTTCCACATGGTTTCTTACAGGCTCCTAAGACTGAGCCCCAGTCGCCCACAGCAGTAACCGCTCATTAACATACACCCTTTTATCGGTTTGTCTCCCTTCCCTGTTTGATCTTCCCTACTCTCTCCTTTGTGCTTTCTAGAATCACCTCCCAAGTAACTACCTGCACCCAAATCTTTGCCTCAGGGCCTACTTTTGGGGAACCCAAACTAAGTCTCCAACTCAATTCCATAATCTTACTTCTGCCTTTTATTCTTCTATAGCTAATTTCAACGAACAAAACTTCAGATTAAAATAACAATAATAACACAGGCCAGTTTGAATGAACTCCTGTGTTGGAAAAATTGTTGCCCTGGAAAACAAGGCTGTGAGTGCTCCGTACCAGGAGTCGCCTTACCCTTCCTCTTGGCCATCAGCTGAGATCAGGTGAAGTCTAGCCACAAATCCTTCCTAACAGCACTTGGGCCTTGCAGCTTCTGCCCAGTGACCCCTGAAAAGTCTGCCTAAGCTATCCAACCAAAAATTAATAAGCATTGGCAAGTTACAGATTGGGAAAGAAAATCTTAAAAAGGTTGGCTTTTGGCCACACTGTCTCGGTAACAAGTTGGAAAGGAAATGGTCAGGAGCTCTGATTCCATGCCTCATTTACAACAAGGAAATAAAGGTTCTAAACAAAGGTGTTAAGTTTACTAACATTTTTAAAAATCTATTTTAAGAGTGCTTTAATGTGAACAGACATTTAAGGGGAAATATTTCTCTGGACACAGCAGTGACGGGGAGGTCAAGAAAGAGACTAATGTGTGGATTCCAGGGGTCAAAGGTCATTTCTGATCATACTTACTTGCTCTGCCTCCTCCTGGGTCACAGACAAGCTGGAACACGTGATCTCCAAGAGCTTTTTCGAGCCAAGGGCTGAACTGGAAAAGCTCTCTTGGCATAGCTGTCTGACAACATCTTTTGAGGAGGCCTATAAGTTAATTCACAGATGGAAAACAAATAAAGTCACCGAAAATATTTGTTTTATAACATAATGTTGTCTCTATACTATGCAACGGTGTGATGGCTTTAAGACTCAAGATTTAAAGGTGCACAGGACACTTTCATTTCTAGGAAGATAGATCATAAGTACTTTTCCTTCTTCGTTCCCATTAAGCACAACTAGCATCCCTGGGCACTAAATGGAAAACCAACCTAAGACGACTCTGAAAGGGGGAGAGGAGAAGACAGACCTGCTGTGGATTTCATGGCCAAGGAATGACATGGGGGCCAGTTCCCTGGGTTTTCTTTCTGTTCATATGTCCCAGACTTTGAGCTGAAGAAGAGAGCAACCAAGAATGCCAATGGGCGTAGAAAGAAAAAAGCTCCAACAAATATCTGCTCTCTCTAGCCAAAGGATCAAAAACGGGCAGCCCAGCAAAACAGAAAACCTTAGACAATAACTGCTCTGACTCCGGCCAACCACCACAGAGAACAGCTGGCCCCACCAGGCCAGGTGGGGAGCCTAGACGTCCACCCTTGTGAGGCTGTAAGGAGCCCTCGGCGAAGGCCAAGTAGGAAGCGGGGTCTCAGCAGAAGGCGCCCTGCCAGGCGGTACCAAGTCCCGCGCCCTCAGGGATCAGTGGAGGCTGATCTGGCCAGTCCACGCCTCCCACACGCGCGCGGGCGGGAGGGGCGGCAGCACAGGCAGGGCGAGCTGAGCGCTCTAGGTGCAGTCCCAGCTTTACTCCTTCCCTCATTAACTCACCCAACAGCTATTCATTAAGCACATGCTGTGTGCCAGGTGTTGGGGGCACGCTTGCTGGCGATTCACTTGTGAATAAAACAGATGCCTTTAGAGAGGAGAACAGGAGAGAACCCAGGGGAGGTGGTCAGCGCAGAGGGGCCGCTGCGGGATCAACGAGGGGCGTTGTGCCGCGAATGCGGAACGTGCGCCGCGCACAACTGCTGAGCATAACGGACGCAATCCTTTTCCTCTATCGTTTTTTTGTTTGTTTGTTTGTTTCTCTCATGGATCCTATTTTCTGGTGGGAAAGACAGACAAATAGACGCCTCGTGCCAGCTAGTGACAAAAGCTAAGAAGGGAGACGGAGCCGCCCTTCCCGTAGGGGAAGTCAGACGTTAAGCAATAATTCCAACCCATCATTTCATTGGATCCTTACAAAGGCCTATGAAGTACGGCCCTTCCAACCTTACACTCTTTCAGATGAGTATCAGGAGAATTTTTTGGCCTTTGCCTAGGTCAAAGCAAGGCCTCGGAGAAGAAGGCGGGCACGCCTTCCTCGGGGCCCGCGCGGCAGAGCGGAGAATGCGCGCCTGGCCACCGCCACCCTAACGCACCGATCGCGAAAGCCAGCGCAGAGACCACGACTAGGAGGCACCTGCACGGCGCCTTCACAACCATCACCGTATGTGTTCCCCCGCCGTGGCGGGGGCGGTGTGAACTGTATTGCTTCTTTCACACAGCTCGGAAAGGCGCAACCACTTGCCCGGGGCCACGGAGACAGAGTGGCAGAGTCGTGGCTCCACATCAAGGTCCGTTTATCCCCAACTGCTACTCCGTCTAAAATCCCAGGGACAAAGGGCGTCTCCGTGCTGTCCCCGCCCCCCTAATTTACCTTCAGCAGGGTCTGGAGCGCTGCAAAGTTTTCCACAGTCAGCGCAGCCATTTTCTGAGTCATGTGACCGCCTCGCTGCGAGACGCGCGGTCACGTGGTCCCGACGGCTGGCGCGGGGCATGCCGGGGGCTGTAGTCCTCGAGAGTGGCTGGGGCTCGGCGGAATGGGGAGCAGCCCACGTCTGGCGGGACCGCCGGGTGGCTCGACCGGGAGGCTCAAAGGNGGGGTGGCTCGACCCGGAGGCTTAAAGGCCGTGGGATTGGGAGGACGCGGGCGCGGGGTGGTTTTCAGCGGGGAAATGGCTTGGCTTGTTTACTTACCAGGTCCCCAGTGGATGGGCTGGCTGATTTTGGGAATGAGCCTGCACTGGCAGATGCCTCGGAAACCTAGCTGTTCGGAGCGATCAGCTACCCGGCTGCCTGGAAGTAACGTGCGGCTGTGCATGTGGGAGGCATTGGAATTCTTGGAACTTACCCCTCCCTCCATCTACTGAATGTAAAATTGCTTTCCCGTGTATAGCTTCCTCCTGTGCGGGTAGAGAGGGGATGGTATTATTTGCCTTGTCCAGGTGGGGAAACTGAGTCACTCCGGGGCTTTAGTGACTTTCCTGTAGTCCCCGGGACGTCTGCTCGGAGGAGCAGGTGAAGAAGCATTTGGAACAGGGGGTAGGGAGGGAATTTTATGAAAGAAAGAAGGTGAAGGGATTAAGCTGTGCAAATTGGTAACAGAACAGTCACGGAGACGGAGGCTACAGCATGGAGATAACTATGTACGGTGCCTGGTCTGGGGGGCCACTCTGTGAAGGACCTGATTTTCTAACCACTTTGCTGTACATTTGAAACTAAATCAGAATAATATTGAATGTAAACTGTAATTGAAAAATTAAAAATTAAAAAATAGGTATTACCTGCTATGTTCCTATCGCACCTATGGCGGGGCAGAGGTGGTTCATGGAAATGATTTTATTAATTTATTCAACAAGGTGGTTACGGTGAATGTGGCACGTGGCTTTGAGTGGGCAGTACAGGACTCCGATTTACCCAGCTCAGAGGGCCGGCCTTGAACAAGACTGAAATTGTACAGTCGTGGAAGTTGGTTTTTAAGGAAAGGTTCCTTTGCACCCCAAACCCACAACCTCTGGCATCTCCCTTACCCAACTTTAATATCTTGTTGACTCACTCTTTTTCCACCCCCATTTCCTTAGCAAAGTTTGGCCCCAAATAGGTTCTGATAATTTCATGCTAGAGAAAGAATGTCTAATTGTAAAACTGCAGAAATTGGTAAGCGGCTAAGGACATTTGTTCCTCCGCCGCCTCCTCCTCTCTGTCCTCCTCTCTCTCCCTCCTGTTTTCTGTGGGGGTCCTGTCCTTTTAGAGCGCTTGCCCTGTCTTCTCCAGTGGGGCTGATGTGAAGAGAGCAACAGAGATACAAAAATGTTTTAATGGAAGTCAATTAAAGGTAGCAGTCTTGGTTTGGAGTTTTTGTGGGGTTTTTTTGTTTGTTTGTTTTTGGTAATAGTTTTATTGCGATGAAATTCACATATACAACTTACCCACTTAAAGTGTACAATTCAGCGGACCTTATATTTACAGAGCTGTGTAACAATCGCCAGTCAATTTTAGGACATAATTACTGCCCCCAAAAGAACACCATGCCCTTTAGCTATCAACCCCAACACTCTCCATCACACCCCAGCCCTAGACAACCATGAATCTTTCTGTCTCTATAGGTTTGTCCATACTGGACATTTCACATAAATGGAATCCTTTGATAAGTGGCCTTTTTCTTTTTTCCACTTATCCCAATATTTTCAAGGCTTGTGCATGTCATAGCATGTATCAGTATTACATTCCTTTTGATTACTAAACAATTTCCATTGTATGAGTAGACCACATTTTGTTTATCCATTCATCCGTTGATGGATATCTGGGTTGTTTCCACCTTCCGGCCCTTTTATGAATAATGCTGCTGTGAACACTCCTGAAGAAGTTTTAATGTGAATTTATGTTTTCATGCCTCTTGGAGTATGTATATGTCCGGGAGTGAAATTGTTGGGTCACATGGTAACCCTGTGTTTAACTTTTCCAGGAACTGCCAGACCATTTCCCAAAGTGGTTGGGCCTTTCACATTCCCATCAGCAGTGTGGGCGGGCTCTGCCTCCTTCGCCTCCTCGCCAACGCCTAGCATGAGGTCTTTTTTATTATAGCCCTCCCAGTGGCTGTGAGGCCGCATCCCCTCGTGAGCAATCAAGCTTTGGAGTTGTATTTGCACAGTAAGCACATCTCATCAGTGAGACTGCTGAGGTTCACTGGAAATGACTGGTGGAGATTATGGGGACTTAAGGCCCCCGTCTGCCCTTGGGTCCCACGCTAAGCTCTGAGGGCCTCCTTTACCAGGAGACCGCAGCAGGAGGTGGCGTAGGCTACCAGCCGAGGTCCTGGAAGGTGAGCCTCCCTCAATTCCCTAGCTTTCCTTTTCCTCCCCCCATTTCATGGAGCGAGATGAGAGGNTGAGATGAGAAGGATGTCCAGGAGGGGCTGCTCTGCCTTTTTGGTCTTATGCTCTAAGCCAAGGAGTGGCTTTGAAGTGACCAGATCAGCTCACCAGTAGACTTAGAAACAAATTGGGGACAGAAGGACTGATCATGACAGGCGTGCACTGGCTTGGAAATGTCATCTGTGTCCAGATCAGACATCACAAGCTGCGTGATTTGGGACTAAATCTGCAGTGACCATGTCTCAGTTAACACAGTGTTTGAAAATTGGGAGATCTGACATAAAAATCCAAATTCCTGGCTCTTTAAAAATACTTGACAGGCATGGCTGTGCTGTTCTCACCTTCCTACATTGCAGCAGTTGGCTGGAACTGAGTTAAGTCCTGGCTGCCCCCTGAAGACTGGCACGGGCTCTTGGAATCCCCACAGTCCCCACCACTCTAGGTTGTGTCACAGTTGACCCTCTCTATACATTTGTCACCTGCCTCGTCCCTGAGACTATTTGTTAGTGCCAACTCCCCTCAGGGACCTAATGGGGTAAACGTGGGCCATAGTGGGATGCAAGGCCGAGTTTGGGTGTTTAGGATCCTGGCTTGCCAGGCATCTCCATACCATCTCTTCATGAATCTAAGCAAGTCGTAGGGACAATGTGGGCATCTAAGTTGTCATTCATGCTTCTTGAGTGATTTCTAAGGACTAAGCACAGTTCTAAGAGTTTTACATGTATTCACTCATTTAATCCTGACCGTAACTCCAAAATAACCCCAGTTTTGGGTGGGAAAATTAATTGTCAGAGAAAAAGCCCTCCACGGTCCACAGGTAATTAGTGGCAGAGCCAGGGTTTGAAGGTGGGAGTAAGTGAGGTCATTTTGTGAGCATACTCCTAAGATAATGTCTGGCCCGTTGTGGGGTTTTAATAGAAGCCATGACACAATGTCCACCTGGCCTTGCCAGCTGCTGCTGATAGGCTGTGTGACTGCGCCAGGGCCCAGCCAGCTGCCCCCTCATTCAAGCTAAGATTTGGAATAGGTGATATTTGTGTTGGGAGAGATGATATCTATGGTACTTTTCAGCTCTAACTCGTGAGTCTCTGAACTCTGGTTAGAGAAGAGGAGAGGGTGAGGACACTCCTGAGCAGGTGTCCCTGCCCCCCTTACAGAACACCATGGGCTGGGAGTCCAAGGTTCCTCTCCCGGCTCCAACTGGCCTGGTGGCTCTGATTTGTGAATTCCAGAGGCATCAGACCCAGGAGGGCACTGTGGCCTCATTTCTCATCCTTCCATCCCCAGGAGTGACACAGAAGCGGCTGATAACACACAGCACTGTCCTCACACACACAAGGCCCTATTGTTTCCCCCTTACACAGAGAGGAGGCTGTGACAATGGCCTTGAATGGCACCTTACTCTCCTTTCTCCAGTGTTACACTTGTTTTTGCAGTTCTGGAATTGGCTAAGCAAGGATTTCCTGCGGGTGTATCAGCTTTTCATCTTTACCACCTCTTCTCCCCGCTCAGTCCTCAGGCCCGGGTCAGTGGGAAGGCAGCGGAGAGCCAGGTCCCAGGCCTGGCGAGAGCTGGGCCTGTTGAAATGTCACCTTCTCAGGAGGCTGGAAGGCTGGGGGACCTCACCTCTCCCCTGCAAGGTGGGCCCTGCCCTGGAGGAAGGACTCGGACCAGGTATCATGGGAGACAGGCCGAGAGCTGCGGGTGGGGAGCGGGGGCTGGAGGCAGAGCCAAGGGCTCAGCCCCAGGAGGGTGGGCTTCTGGGTTCAAGACATTCTGTAAACAAACAAGCAGAAGCAGCTGAGGTCACTGCCTCCCATTCAATGCCTCTGATGTCTCAGTGACCAGCAACTTCAGGACTCATGTGAGTTTACTGAGATGCCTGTTTCCTTCATAATAGCTGCCATTATTGAGCTCTTGCTGTATGTATTGTATCTGCATACATATTGCTATACGGGTTTTTATCTATTGATAGCACTTGTCAAACACTTGTACAGTGCGCTTCCCATTCTGGCTTCATTCGCCACAGGCAGTCTGGTCCTAGAATCTCTTCATCACCACACCTCCTGCACCATGTTCTTCGCGATAAACCAAGGTTATGCCAAGGCTGCACTTTGAGGGGCAGCGATGGGAAATGATAAGCATGTGTACTGAGGCCTCTGCCCTGTGCCAGGCAATGCTCTCAGCGTTGGCACCTATTGAGTGGGTGCTTTCGTTATATCCATTTTGCAGATGAGGACATTGAAGTAGAGAAAACTGAAGTGACTCACCCAGGGTCACGAGTGGCAGAGGCAGGATTCGAACTCACTTCTCTCTGGACTACTGTGTGGGCCTAACGCCTGGCCGGGCCTGTGGCTGCTTTGGAGATACGGAGGGTGGGGCGCCCCGTCCCGGGCTTGGCAGTACCTGGCTTGTCAGCTCCAGGAACGCAGAGGCTCTGAAGTGTTTGTCTGATGTCGTTAGCTTCTTTCTTGCTCAAAGGAGATGGGCTTGTTGAATGGTGACCGGGAAGGAATTTAGAGCGGTAACAATTGCTCAGTGAATGCCGTCTCTTATGTGGCC